TAGACCCTGGGGGAATCTCAGCCTTTCTTTTGAGCAGCTGAGTGGGAAGCAAGGTCTTGTGTCACTTTGTTAAACCTTCCTGATTTTATTGATCGCTAGTTTGAACTCAGTGCTGCCATTTGTAGGATGGGATAGTCTTCCCAGTGCAGTCTGCCCACCATAGCCTCTTGGTTTGGACACTTGAGCAGATCTGAACCTGTGAAAGAGGCAGAGAGGAGCCCCTGCAGCTGAGGAATACATTCTTCATTGGACCTCACTCCCGATGTAGCTTTCTGAAGAAATGTGTGAATTAATATGCTTACTTTTTCTAGAAATAATAACTTCTCAGAGGTGAGACAGTGAGCTTTCCTGGGGGTCACATGGCCTCTCTGAGCTCAGGTGAAGGGTGTGAGATACTCTTGGCCAAGTATACAAGGAAGATAACTCTGTGGCAAACCGTTATGTAGGCAGTAATGCATCATAGCGTGTTTTGAGATCAGCCATCATTTGATGGTGGAGCAAACCCACCACCACCATCAAAACCCAACCTGGCTTCACAACACATGTGCAGTCAGTGCAGCTAACCAGGTTTGCTCTGACTCATGGGCACCAGTTATCCGTAACTTTCTGGAATTCAGGCAACTGCTGCTAAGTGCTAACATATCAACCAATCTCTGAATGTTTCCTGGATTTTAGCCAGGACAATAATTTACTAGAAAAGCTGTGCAAGATGGGGCACGAAGGGATGTTATAGCTGTGGGCACTGAGGAGAGCAGTCTTGGGATCTACCCTACAAAAAGAAGGTTAATAAATAGGAGAAAGGGACCTATTTTAGGGTGAAATAGAAAGGAAACTCAGTTTATTTTATTATCTTGGTGAAGGCCGAGAGATGATTCATTTGCAAGCCTTAAACATCAACAGGGAAAAGAGAGCTTGGATAGCAGCGTCTTCATGAAAATAAAATGAAATCTAATAGCTGGCAGCTGAAAAACGTGAATTCAGACTGACAGGAATGGAAGATCTTTTTTATGAGAAGATAATTGACCATTGGAATAACCTACTTGAAACAAGTAGATTTCTTCTACCCCTTGTCGTCTTGTGTGAAAAGTCATCAGGCTGGCTCAGGTAGAAACATCAGCTCCGAGGTGGTGTGTGCAATTCTTCAGCTGAGGATAGGGAACAATGGAAAGAGCTATGGGGAACACGCTCTGAAGGAGCATGCTGGGTACAAAATTTCTGTTGCACCAAGTTTTCATTGAATTGAATAACAGACTTTTCAAAATGGTTCAAATATTATTTTTGTTTGGAGAATTATTTATACTGTTATAGAGTATTTCTTTTTTTACCTGATGGTCACTGCTGTTTATATAATATACTCACTACATGCCACTGTCACTGATAGTTAAGATAAAGTAACAATTTCAAGGTTTTTTAAAAGCAATTAAATGCAGCTTCTAGCTTGAAATATGTGAAAAATCTTACTTTCCTTTTAGATCAAAGTGTCTCCAGGGTTTTAATGAAAAAGAGAGAAACTTTGAAAAAATAAACACTATTATTGGACTATGTAAGCAATTATTCAGTTTATAAAGAAATTTCATAAATCTGAAATTACAACACTTTTGGACTAGCTATTTTCCCGAGCTATCCTTAGTGGGAAAATTTGAAAAGAACTATTTTTGCTTTTTATTTTTGGAATAAAACCAAATTTTGAAATGCTGATTTCCTGTGAACTGGAAACCTCTGGCTCTAACCAGGAGTAATGAACAACCAACAGTCTGAAAATGATTTACTGCTAGAAGGAGGTGCAAGTAGCATATCTATTCAGAGGTACTTTTTGGCTTACTAATGGGAAAATGAAGTTCACGTGCTTCGCAGCCTATTCAGCAGGTTGAACAGCAACCATTTCTCCATTTGTACATTCAGGCTTGGCTCTGAAAGTTATGGATTTGCTCATGTGGGACCCTTTCTTCCTTCACTTTTGTTCAAGGTAGCGAATGTGGAGAAGGTAGAGATGCTTTAAGGGATTTGTGGCAGGATGCTTGTTTTTTTTTGGTGATCAGGAGCATTAACAGGACATGGCGTCCTTCCAGTCACAGCCAATTACTCTCCATCCGTGTTTCGACCATGGGACCTAGCACTGTTTGTTGGGTCTGTAGTGTGGTGGCTGAAGATCTGGACTATTTAAAGGCTCTCCTGGTTGAGCGTTTGCAGTGGGTGAGATAATGATGGATGGGTACATGAAGAACTCTTCTGCCTTTCTGTATTCAGCCACCCTGGGCCTGGCAGTGACTTTGTCTTGCTGCTAGAGCTGTACTGAGGTTGTAGCCATACGGCTGTAGCAAGGACAGCGCCTGAAGGGCAGAATCCCTCTAGCTAGCTGCATGTACTTTTGATTTCCTGCCCTCCCTGTGCATCCCCTTCTCTCTTCCATCTCTGCAAAGATCAGAGGTGAGACAAGCTGCTGCTGGTGCATTGTGTGTCTGCTAGGGATGAAAGAAGCCTTTCCATGTTCTTTTCAGAAGTAGGGATTTTTATCAGCATAACTCAAGCAGAGCCAAAGGTCAGGATGACATTTAGGGCTTTGGCCAAATGGCTGAGCGCTCGCTTTCTGTCTTCTGGGTTACCTCCTGCAACATCTTGCTGCCCCAAGCTTTGAGCGCAGCAACATTTCCTTCCTATTTGAAGGAAATACGTGATTTCCCCATACCCACAGTTGAGGGTAATGGCAGGGGTGGAGGATGCTGCTGTATATATCAGCATCTCAAAGTGACTCCTTGCAGAGGAGTGCCTGCATGCTCTCAACCCTCATCTCTGGCCAGGGCCCATGGCAGGGGGGGGTAGCACATGTGGAATTGTTCTGGCTCTTTCCCACTAAAATTAAACAGGAAAATCTCATATGTATAATTAAGAACCTGTTGCCAAGGCAAGTTGGAGGAAAGGGGAACAAGAGAGGGAAATTGGAAGCATCAAGTGAAAGGTCCTGAGAAAAGGCAGGTTGTCAGCGCTTTCTCCGCACCCTGAGTCTGTGGAGACATCCTTTCCTGTGATGCTCTGCTCTTCTCCATCCCCAGCTTAGAGAAGGGTCTACCACCTGGGATTGGAGAAGTCCAACCTTGTGGAGAAACAGAGGTGCCAGAAACATGGGGTCAGCATCCCGAACATGCCCAGAAATTCAGAAAGGTCCTGAGGAAAGGCTAAATCGGCTGTCCCTGGATGTACTGACTGTCCTGGTCACATTAAAAAAATGCATTACTGACATTTTATCTTCAGCATAAGACTGATGGCCTGGAATCTGGCTCTGTCCTAGCAAAGCCTGAAGAAAGAGATATAATTTCTATCTTGTTCATAGGATGCTTTGTATTGAGAGCGGTAGAGCCCTAAAACTGGACTCATCATTTCCCCTGCCCATCGCACGTTAACCGAGAGGTCAGGGAGAGGGAAGCTGGAAGCTGGAATTCATGTTTGGGTCTTGCTTTTGCATGCAATGGATGCTTTCTGGTATTCCTGCAAATGCAGTCGGCCTCCTAAATGTATGCGCTCTAAATCTGGTGCTGATTCACATTGCTCCTACTGAGTAGAGGGTTATAATTTCTTCTGCAAGCATCATCTCAGCATTAGCTGCAAAATCGCTTGATAAACGCTGCCCAGCACCGTCTTTCCTGCAAGCTTAACACTTTCCCCAAGCCTAGGCTCAGTGTGGAGAAGACTTTAGGCTTTCCAACCCACGTTTCCTAAACATTGGAATATGTAGTTTTGTCTGATTTTATCAAAACATCAAAGCTGGACATGATGCAGAAAATCACAGCATTGTATCAGCCCTCAATACTCCAGTACAGACCTTGAGTTAGGTTTTCTGGCTATGTAAAACAGACTTACTCTGACAGCTCCATCTTTTGTGTTTAAGAGATGACATTTTGGGAAGCTCGTGACTTTGCAATGGCTGGATTTTTACAGGCATGGGCAAAGGTGTCTCCTTGCCATGTCTGAGCCACCACACCTTAGCCATTCATGGAAGTGTTTGCCAAATGCATTTCTGATAAGGCCAGATGGCCCTTGCCAGCCTTGGCTGGGGGACACCTAAACACATTAGCTGAAGTATTAACAGACCAGAACCTGAGTGGCCCTTCTCCTGCCATCAGCCTGGTGTGATTATGCAAACCAATAGCTGTTTGAGATGAAAAAATTCAGCCTAAGTCTTGGAAGTGTGAGCAGCTGTAGGAAGGACAAAAAGCGCTCTCTAAAGGCATTACTGCCTGCATGGCTTAGGAAACCTTCCTCTTTGCTTGGTGCTGGTTGGCCATAGCAGCATCTGACCTATTTCATCCCAAATCGCCAAGAAAATCAGATTAATGTTAGTTTAATTATTAAGTACTGTAAGTCCTTAAACTGCTATTCCTTCCTGTGTGCTACAGCATTGCTGAGGATTTTGCCTACTATACAAAGTGCTGGAAAAAAATGTCCCACAGATGTTGGCAGCTCTGTAGCTAGAGGGTAATGCAGACACCCTGTCTAGGCCGGGGCTCCTCATCTACAATTGCAGAACTTCTCCCAAGCCATGATATTCTGATTTTGGTTTTTAAAGAGGAAACTCCAGCTGGGCTGGTGCTCAGAAGAGCACGTTCCAGCCCATGTATTGCAGGAAATGGGGCCGGTTCCCGCTAAGCAGAGAACATGGAGGAAGCAAATGTGGCGGAGGGATGGATGCCAGGCTCCTCCCCGGCCAAGCCTGGGCTCCAAGGCGTCACCGAGTCTGACAGCGACCTGTGTCTGCTGCGGACTGATTTGGTGCTCCTGAGCTAGCCGTGCCTGTGTCCCAGCAGGGTCACAGGAAGGAGCATGCAAGCTACTACAGTTCTTCCTGGCCTCTCACTCACTGCACCTATTTGAGCACTAAGCAGGCAACATCTGGGCTGGTTGTGGCTGGGTGCTGCACCCTCACAGACTTTGCCATTGGGCAAAACCTAACAGAGACCATTGCCCAGATTGCCGTCTTGACTTCTTGTTTTGCTTTCTTCTTGCAGAGACCTTGATGGACTCTACAACAGCAACGGCAGAGCTGGGCTGGACGGTACATCCTCCCTCAGGGGTGAGTTATCTAATGGCTTTGTGGGAGCCGGGAGCCATATTGGTGGCCAGTGGCCTATCATCTCTCAACAAAATTCATCCAAAGTGCTTTGGCCACATGAAAAGGGATGATGGGAAGAGCACACCAAAATAAGACAATGGAGGTTTCCAGTAATTTTCTAGGAGGTGACGTCCAAAAAATACCCCAGTGTTAGAGCACTGTAATTCTCACCTGACAGTGTCAGGCCAGTGTAATTCTCTTTAAGACTGGTCCACAGTCAGTTAAAAATCAGGGAGAGGAAAGAATGAAATGCAAAGACCACTGTTGTTTGTCCCTAGCGTCTCACTTGTTATCCCATTGCCCATCACCTATTGCAGAAAAGGGTCAGAGCGTTGGCCTTCAAGGTTGCAGAGACAGCAGCCACTTGATTAAGTGGCTGAAATGACTCACAAAGGTTGTGTCTACAGTGTGGCCCTGGAGTAATGCGCACCCAGCCAGGCTGCCTATGATTCCATGGGTGACATTTCCTAGCTCACCGTTGACTGTCCCACTGCTTCACTAGGACGGGGATTCCTCCGAGCCACATCCCGCTCAGAACAAGCTCCTTTAAACAAGAGATTGGACAGGATGCTGTGTGTCTGCGTCCTCTCACTCACAAAACAAAAGCAGAGAGAGCTCAGCCACTTCTGTGTCCCATGTAATTTGTGTGGGGCATCTATGTGGTTCAGAGCATCTCAGAGTGCAGCAGCGAGGAGCCACCATGCCAGAAGTCCTTTCCAGACATGTTCCCCTTCTGCCACCTGCTCAGGGCATAGGCCAGCACTGATTTTCTAGGTGGCACGGGTGAAGCTAGGGAAGTGCCTCTGCAGCTTGGGTTGGGGCATTGCATAAGTGTAATTCAGCGTCGTGCTAGCCTTCCAGCTCACATGGCCTAAGTGAACTTGGCCAAAGCCAAAGGCCAGCTTGGAGATGTTTCTGATCTTCATGCACGGAGCGGTTGGCTCAGCCTGCCACCCTGACAGCAGCCTCTCCTCTTCTATGTTCCTGTACCCTGCCAGTGCATGGAGCCCACATTGCCCTGGAATTTGTTTTTTTTTTTTTTTTTTTTGCTTTCCTGAGGGCCATGTCTGCAACGGAGCCAGAGGACTGGCTGGTCTGGTGTGGTGGAAGGGTGGACTGCTGCCCATTCCCTGCTTTGCCCTGTGCATCTGACCCATGAAAACTTCCCCGCGGTCAGCCTTCCCATGCCGCTACGCTGCCCTAGACCTGCCGCCCACCCTCGGTGGGGGCCAAATGAAGATGTTTCTTTGCGCTTCACACCGCGGGGTTGACAGGCGAGCCTCCTCCCTGGTGGCGCCTGGCCCCTCGCCAGTGCTCTCCGGACACAGCCTCATGAGCTGGGTTGGCAGAAGAAAAGAAACCCTTGAGAAAAGCCTCCATCAAGGAGATTAAACTCTGCGAGAGAGGTTTCCCCTCTGTGCCCTGACCAGCCCCGCGCCGGGCCAGCCGACCTGCCAGTGCTCGGGTGCCGAAGCTCCCGGCACCAGTCCCCCCATCATCATGATAAAGGCTTGCGCTCGCCTATTAGCATGGGAGCTCGCAAAGGCTGGGCCGCTCCGCCAGGCCCATGGACCGGCCTGCCAAAGGGAAATGATGGGCGCACAATAGGCAAGAGCAGAGGTCAAGTCTTTTTCTCTCCTTGCCCAGCCTTTCTTGTTTGCGGTTTTTCCATATGTAAAGCAAGCCTTGCTCCCGGCTCCCCCAGCCCCACGGTAATGAGGCCTGGGCCTGCTGGAAGCCGTCTCTCCGTATTATTGTGCTGCCTCCTTCTTTTGAGTTCCCGGCATGTTAATTAGAGAGCGAGGAGAAAGGGAGAGGCTTCTAATTAAGCGCTGAGGAAGCGCAGGGGCTGAGGCACGGGGGTGACTTTCTCTCCCAGCTGAGAAAAGGGAGCTTTGGAGTGGGGCGTTGGAGGGATTAGCTCAGCCGGCGGTGCCAGCAGCTCTGAACCAGCCCTCTCCTGGCAGCCCCCTGGACACTGCTGCAGGGGACTGCTGGGTGCTCTCCCTCTGGGGCCAGGCTTCCTGAGCGAGCATCCTGGCCCCGGGGCATGTCCCCAGCTCCCCTGTCCCCTGTGGCAACGATGCGGGGAAGAGCCCGGTTGGAAAGCCCAGCACAGGAGCAGTATTTTCAGCAAGAGCATCTCTTGCACAGCACCTTCCCAGTCCTGCGGCCAGCAGAAGATGCTCGTAATCCCCGTGTCTGGAAAGGGGGACATCGTGTACACCGTGCTCATACCCTGCATCGTGCTGGAGACTCTCCTTCCACCACATGCTCCTCTTACCTGACCGAGGCTGAGCACTTCAGAATTGTGTCTTGAGCTCTTCCCATTGAGGCCTTGCGGGAGTGGATAGGGGACGGGACAGGTACTGGGCATCCCTGGATCTTGGTGGCTAACATGCTGTTTTGGAGTGGGGGAGCTGCTGGTGTCAGGATTGGTACAGGCAAGAAAAAGCCGTGTTGGAGACAGGGCAGGGAGAACAGTTGTTTGCCCATGTTTTGTCCTTGATTATTCCCTTCCCTCCCAATCAGTGTCCTAAAATCTGGGGAGATTCTTCTTGCAGTTTTCCACCACCGCACCAAATTTCTTTCTGCAGAATAAAGCAAACACCCCCTGCTGCGTTTTCAAAGGATATTCTCCTTCTACGCCAGCGACAGTAGCAGATTTGCGGCCACTGCCAATCAGAAATGGTTGGAGCTGTTTGGGGATCTTCCCTGACAGCCTTCTGCTTGGTTCTTAGCCTTGATGTGCAAAGAACAATCTGTCTCTCATCTCATGAGTCTCCCTCTGCAGTAGTGAATGCCCTTGTGAGGCTGTTTGCAGGCTGAAAGGCTGGGGAATGCAGCTAAGGCTCTGCTTGTGAAGGGTTTTCACTACAGACCTCAGACCTGGCATTGATGCTGGCTCAGAGCACTGGAAGCGTTGGCTCTTGCTCTGGTCTGCTGTCCTGTCCTGAGTATTGCAGACCCACCTCAAGGGCAGGGTTCTGCTCTGCACATCAGACTTCATGTCCATGGGAAACAGCTTGGCTTCCACTTGAGCAGGTTTGTGAATAAGTTTATAAAAAAGCCATTCCAGCTGGCTGGGACTGCGTCACATGCTAACTGGCCCCAAATCCCTTCCATTCACACTGTGCAGAGTGGAACGTTTCTCTCGTTGGTGTCACAAGGGGGTCAGTTCTCTGCCCTGCTCCTCACAGGCAGCTGCTTCTTGGGTACCTCTGTGAAGCCTCGCTGCTGGCAGCTGTTGCTCAGGAATCCAATTTCCTGCCTTGCCCATGGGGTGTTGTGGGTGGAGAGCGGTCAGTGTGGGGAGATGCTCTGCTTTCCTGCAAAGGCTGAGGTGGATGAAAGATTCTCCTCCCAGTAAATGCCCTTTCCCATCTGTGCTCACCACAAATGAATGACGCTGGTGGCTGCGTTGCAGGCTCCAGCCCTGCCCTTGCCTGATGCGTAACCTGCTAGTCCTACTGTACTATGATTTCTTTGCCATATGGCCTGGCAGTTCCTTTTAAGGGAGATTTCCTTAAGCTTTCACAGATTTCTCCTCGCTCCTCTCTCCACCCCCAAACTCTGGGAGCTGGGGATGGAGGAAAGGGCAAAGGGTCACGTGACAGGGGAATCCTGCATGTTTGCTCTCCTTGTCTCAGGATCACTAGGATCCTTCATACGCCTAACTGAGGCAACGCTTTGCCAAGCTTGAGACAAAGAGAGCGAATCCTCCCTCGCCCTTCCCTGGGAGACCTATCTGCAGTGCAAGCTGCCCCAGGAGGCCCGGCCACACAGTTTGGTGAGTGATCCTCAACCACAGGAGACTTGCTAGAGCCCTGTGGGTATTGGCCGGCTCTGGCCTGCCCTGAAATCTCCCCATCCTGCAAAGGAATGAAAAGATGAAGGCAGCAATAAACACTGAAAGGTTTGGGAAATACGGCTGAAGAAAGGGCAGGGAGCTAGGCAGGACCAGTCTGGAGATGGGACAGTTATGGGAGATGTTGCAGCAGCCCAGAGCTCTACAGAGAGCCCTTCCAGAGTCCCAGGATGGAGCTGGGCTGAGCTTCCCAAGGGAAAAGCCGAAGTTATTAGCAGGGGAAATATTCCAGCCCTGAGCTATCTAGCCAGAAGGGATTTACTGTGGTGCCCCACACAGTGCCCTAGGTCCACTTTAAGACGGCTGTCACTCCTGCCAAAGGACTTGCCCATACCTGGGGCCGTTTCCTGTATCACACCTGCAGGAGAGAGCCCAAAACAAATCAGTCCATGTAGGAGCAAGGATGAGGGCTACCAGAGGGATCTAGCCCAGTGTAGCCTCTCTGGGTATTCGATGGGAATAACTCCCTTAAACCTGACCTCCTGGCGGTCAGGAGGAAAGGTCACTGTTGGCTAGTCATGTGTGTCTTAGTGCAGTTTTGCCAGCAGCACTGCCTTTAAAGTCTCTGAAATATGGGTGCACAGTGGTCAGGGTCACAACTGGCATGAAATAGGTCCAGGACAAAAGGATAAGACCTGCTCAGTTGATTTGGGAAAGGGAAGGGCCACGAAAAGTGTTCTGAGGCTGAGGTATTTCATTGGGTTATGGGAGGGAAGTGAACCAGAGCTCGTTGGTGGCCACATTTTCATGTTCACGTTAAAAAAGCAGCAAACCCGCAATGCCCGTCAGCCTGTCCCATGTCTGCTGTGAAATGAGCAGGTGGGTTCTCCGTGGAGAGCAGAGATCCTCCCCGCACAGATTATCCTTTCACATGGGCGCTGCTTCTCTCTGCCAGCTAATGTGGCAGGATGGGGGTCCAAAGAGCTCCTGGCTCCTCCTTTCAGCGCCCCTCTCCTGCTGGGTTTCTTGCTGCAAGGAGATGCCCTGCTCCTGTCCTATCGCTGTCTGGAGAGGGGTTTTGCTGGCACGCCGGTAGTCTGCACCTTGCACTAATATTCAAGCTCCAGCCTAGAAGGAGGTTTTACAGTCACGTTATGAACTCCTGAGAAAGCAGGTTCTGTCTGCCACATTTGTAACCATAGTGGCACCGGTGGGAATACATCTGCTAAAGGCATCGTGTTACTTTACTACGAGGCTCTGCAGTTAAGAGGCCTCAGCAGTTCAGTGTAGCCTACTGGTGAGAGCCTCTGCTAAAGACATTACTGCCTGCAGATGAAATGCATGGCCCTGCCATGCCCTGCCCTACCAGTGCCACATGCAGAGGGGGCTGTGCTGTGGCACTGGTTTCACCATCCTTTTGGGCAGCAGGTATGGTGCTTGGCAGAAAACTGCTGACAGTGAGACAGTCCTGAGGTCTGCCTAGGACCTGGCTCACACTGGCCTTACTGGGCTGAGCCTGTCTGGCATGCAATGTGGGTCAAACCTTGCAGGATCAGGATGGAACCACATAGTTATGGGGCATTTGGAGGGGTATGCAGCGTTAGAGCAAGGTTTTGAGTACTGGTGGGGCTGAATCTGTGCTATGTGCCTGTGTGGACATGACGTGGCACAGTTTGTACTAATTCAACTTGCCCACTTGGCACACAACAGGGTTGGGAAGCAGCAGAGTGGATGGGGACCTAGCTTTCACTTAATCCTGTGAATGTCAATTCAATGCAGCCCAGTGACTTTTTGTGTCCTGTCTGCAGTGGGAAGAGGTGAGTGGATATGACGAGAACATGAACACAATTCGCACCTACCAGGTGTGCAACGTCTTTGAATCCAGCCAGAACAACTGGCTCCGGACCAAGTACATCCGGAGGCGGGGTGCCCACCGCATCCATGTGGAGATGAAATTTTCTGTTCGGGACTGCAGCAGTATCCCTAATGTTCCAGGCTCATGTAAGGAGACTTTTAATCTCTACTACTATGAGTCAGACTTTGACTCGGCCACCAAGACTTTTCCCAACTGGATGGAGAATCCTTGGATGAAGGTAGACACGATTGCTGCCGATGAGAGCTTCTCGCAGGTGGACCTAGGTGGCCGGGTGATGAAGATCAACACTGAGGTGCGCAGCTTTGGGCCTGTCTCTAAGAATGGTTTCTACCTGGCCTTCCAGGACTATGGAGGCTGCATGTCCTTGATTGCGGTCCGTGTCTTCTACCGCAAGTGTCCCCGCGTGATCCAAAATGGGGCTGTTTTCCAAGAGACCCTCTCAGGAGCGGAGAGCACTTCGCTGGTGGCGGCGCGAGGGACGTGCATCACCAATGCAGAGGAAGTGGATGTGCCCATCAAGCTGTACTGCAATGGGGATGGCGAGTGGCTAGTGCCTATTGGCCGCTGTATGTGCAGGGCAGGTTATGAATCAGTGGAGAATGGGACCGTCTGCAGAGGTAACTATTTATCTTCCTTTTCGCTTTGTGGGCTTATCTCATTGCTGTGGAAGACAGTCCTGTGCTAGTGCTCAGACGGTCTCGTGGTGGGGGGGCTGAGGAGCTCTTTGTCACATGCAGTGGGCCCTAACCTGCCTGGTAGCTGTGCCCTGCCTCTGGGGTGACAGGATAGCGTGTTGGCCCCGGTATCCTTTGGCTGCTCCCTGGGCAGCTTCCTGTGTCATCGCTGCCTCAGCGATTCCCGGCACCTGCCTGGGAGGCAGCAGTGCCTTCACCAGCTCTCGGGGACCGGCGTTTGGAGGAAGAGGCTGTGGCCCTGCTTCCTGACATGAGAGGCAAGTTGGACCAGGGCCTGGGCTCTGTGGGCTCTGCTCCATGTGGATAATTAGGATTTGTAGTTTTAATCTGCATAATCAACCTAGGATTGACCTCCTGAGGCAGGGATGGAACAAGAGGGAGAGCAGTCCTGGACAAAGCGCTGGGAGCACATGGGATGAACGGATGGGCAGAGCTGTACACAGCTCTGGTGTGTGTGCAGATACTCGCTTCCTCTATGACCTTCCTCTGCACCTCTTTCCTGCCTCAGGAGGTTGTGGCCAGGCCTGTCCATTCATTGCAGAGGCTCTTTTTTGTCTCTGGGTCCTCTGAACCACCGTTTTTGAGTGCAGGGGTGCAGGCTCTTCAGTGGTACCTTTCATGCTCTCCAGGCCATGGAGGGACGCACATACAGTGGTTTATGCCGCTGATTTGTGCTTCTGATCTGCAATCATCTCCCAGAATACTGAACAGAGGCTGTGCCAGTATTGGCTGAGATAGCAAAGGGAGCAGGAGAAAATGCTTTGAATCTGGAAAACAGATGGAAATTCCTATTTAGTTGCACAGAAACAGGGATGTGGAACTGCAGCAGGAACTGTTTTTGCTTTTGTTTATGACCTGCAACTTAGCACATGGCTGAATTTCTTAGGGATGAGAGAAGCAGGGTTCCTGGCACCCAGAGATCTTGTAGTACAAGGGAACAAGTTGGCTGCAGCATTATCTAGTGAGACCCAACCGGTCCAGGAGCCAGGAAGGCAAGCATCCTGGTGGGACGGGACATTGACACGGGATGTTGAGGGTCAGGTTTGCCTCTCCAAACTGGATACCTCTGAACCAGGCCTCTGAGCTCCCTCTGTAGCCACAGGTCTCCTGTTCTAAGGTAAATGTAAGTAGCATCTCTGGAAGTGCCTGTTTCTTCATCGTGGCTCAGCTGAGTGCCATAGTGCAGCGCGGTGCTACAGACACAGCATGCCCTGGGCAAGTGAGAGGATCTGCAGGTGGCTCAGGCCTGGGTAGAAGGGGAAATATCATTCACAATCCTGGCTATTACATCCTACTCTCAGGCCTGCCGGCACTTAATTTATCCCCAATCTCCATGGTTATCTCTGTGCAGGTAGGGGTTGGTGCAATACTGCCCAAGCTGAGCTGGGGTTGACCTCCTGGCTGAAGCAGTGCCAGTTTCTTACATTTTGCAGGCTAGGTTTTGAGGGCTCAGGTTGAAGTGGCTTCCCCTGTCACCACTTCCTCACCTCGTGGAAAGGGGAAGGGGTCCAGAACTGGGTCTGGGACGTTCACCACGCCTTTCCAAGGCAGAGCGCCTTGCTTTTGTCAGAAACTGGGTCACGTGCTCCAGGGATGGGTGAGGAGAAAGGCAGCAAAATGATGTGTTTGGCAATGTGCTTGGTGGATGTGTTCCGAGCTTGCCTGTGCCACCTTCCCAGAAATCACTGCTCCCAAACCAATGTCTTCCCCTTCCCCAGTCTCGCAGACAGCACAAGGGGAGGAAACACAGTGTGAGCCTGGAGAGAGAGAGAAAGGAGCTGCTGGGCTTATAGGAAAGTTAGGGAAATGGAAGAGCTGCAGAACAGGACCAAAGGCTGCATGTCCCCTGGGCACTGGTGGCTGTACCGTGCAAGGGTGAACCATGGTGAACAAACTCTTTCCTCCTCATCCTCACTGAGCATGAAAATCGCATTATGGTTTTGATAGCATGGGCACAATCTGAGCAGAGCTGGAGTTTCTCTGAGATCAATTATAGATACAGTGGCGAGCACTGTAGAGGGAAGGCTCAGCCTCGAATGATGGACTAGGAAGGAGCTGTGTCTCCCCTGTCCTTGCTGCGGGAAGGGGTGGCTTGGTAACACCGAGCAAGCATAGGGAGAGTGCTGATAGTAGAGAAATGGATGCACCGAAAGCGGGAGAGCGGGAGGCCATGTTTGGTTGGGGCTGCAGGTCGGATAGTCGTTATGGTCTCTCTGGCATCTCACAGCCTACAGAAGGGCCCTCGTGGTCAGAACGACCCGATCTCCATCTCTGAGCAGGCAGAGCTGGTCCTGGGCTTCCCTTTGGGAGGCCAGGCCAGAGCTCAGTGCTGCAGTGATTTGGGACGTTCAGGGCTTGGGACATTCACCTCCCAGCCCATGCAGCTGCTTTAGGCTCAGCAGGATGCTCTGGTGTTGAGGGGTGGACTGGAGGCACCGACAGTGACTGTAAAAATCTGAAGGTGATATCCTTTCTCGTAGAGCGCTCACTGTCCCCCAAGTGCCCAGCTAGAGGGTTCTGTGGTACAAGATCTTGGAAAGGGGTAGGAGTTACTGGAGACAACTAAAAGTGGAATATGAGGAGGACACAGGGAAATTTGAAAATTTAAAAGTGGGTAAACAGTTACTTGTTGAGGCCAAAGATCCAAAAGTGAAGCCCTTGAAGGAGACCTCCATTGTGCTATGCACCTGCTCCTGGGAGAGGGCACTGCACGTCCTGCTGGTGGCTGGCTTTCTCACACATCAGGCTACAGTTCCTGATGTGCTGGGACATCATTTAATAGCATTCCTTTGACCCTGCTGGGCCACTATATATCTGTTCCCTCTGGGCTAGGGATGTTCAAGCATCCTCCAGCTGTGACTGGTCACAGGAAGAGCAAACAGCCTTGGGTTGTATCAGGAGTGGACCTCTAGGTGATGGGAACAACTGCTTCCCTGAAGGCAGAGGGTATAGGGTTAGTTCCCTACGAGACGGGAAAGCCTAAGATGGAGAGGGAGACAAACCAGGTCTCTCTGCTCTAGTGTCCTTCCTCTCAGTTAGAGGACCTAAGGGTAAAAGTATTGGTGTAACACAATACAAAAAGGGAACCTAGAAAATCCCAGTGTTTGTTAAAGGGAAGCTGGACACTTTATGATGCCCAAGTGAAGCATTCATAACAACATAAGAAGACCAAAATGATTTATTTAAACTTTTCCATCTCTGCTTGTTGTTTTTTATTTTTATTTTTTATTTATTTTGCTCAGCCCTACACAACACTTTGCTCTGATGCAGCTACGGTGTCTCACAGAGTGCTGCTCATGCAAACAGGCTCCCTGATCCCACTGCCAGCCCTGCCAAGGGGTAGTCTCTGTGCCCTATGGGGCTTGGCATGCTCCAAGGCACCCAAGATCTCCTTCAGAGATCTGGTTTCTGCAGCCTAGCTTGCTTGGGCTAGCAGGGAAAGCAAAGTGAGCAGGAGAGGGGGATTGAAAAGAAGGGAATGACTAGGAGCGAGGCCAGGTCTTCTCTTTGTTTGTGCAGCAGCAGGATTTTGGGAGGTCCAGTACGTCAGCAGCTGTTTCTCCAGCCGGCACTTGTGTGTGTGTGGCTCTGCAATCCCTGCCGTCATTAATCACACAGTGGCCTGCAATCCACCATCTCCTTGGGGCAGCTGGCTCTGGGGCTGCGCCACAGCCAAGTGGAGCCATTCCTGCATGGGGCTTCGTGGCTGGAGCTGCACGGGGCTCCGGGGGCCATGACAGACCAAGAAGCTTCCTCTGGTTTCTCCCACTGGCCTCAGATGGAAAACCGGGGCAGAGTGGAGAATGCAAAGGGAGACACCTGCAGAGACGGTGGGAGAGTTTTAGCATCTCCATCCTTTCTCAGCAACCCAGTGAGCCCCAGAGGGTCCTGGGTGAGGGGCTGTTCATCCCAGCTCAGTAGGGCAATGAAATGGCTCTCCTCCCCAGCTCAAATTGGGAAGGACATATGGGCTGCAATCCTTCATCCTTGCCCCGCTCCCGTCATGTCTTTGCCCCATGCTGATCCCAGCAGAGGCAGTGTATGAGTCGCCTGCTGTGGAGAACTCACTCATACATGTGGCTGGCAGGTTTTCTTGTGTTTCGAAAGGTGGGAGAAAACCTGGGCCCCTTTCCAAAAGCAAAACAAAAGCAAATCCGAACTGGCTTTTGGTGTGAAATACTCTCACAAGTCTCAGTGGCCTGCATGGGATGTGGAAAGGAGTATGGGGGATGCTGTTCACCTGTGCTGCCCCGTTAACAAATCTTGGTGGAAAAGGGCATCCCAAGCAATGGATGGCCCCACAATTCAGATGCAAGGCCCTGGGAAGAGTTGCTCATTTTCTCTGCTGGGCTTTTCATCTGGCTAATACAGTGTGAGCCTGCTCAAGGCAGTGTACACAAGGGATATTTATGGAGGAAGTTCATGCATCTAACAGCTTAAGCTCTTCTAAGCTTGTAGCTCCAGCACAAAAGGATTTGGGAGCAGTTAACAATTCTGTGTGGTTAAGAGATTTTCATTTTGCTAGGCCTTGCTCGCCAATCCCGCAGGGCCCTGCAGGGGCTGGCTGGCTGCACCGCTTTGCTTCGCTCATCCGCCGAGACGCACTCGCTTCCCTGCTTCTTTCCGTTATGTTGGCGAGGGGCTCAGAGCACACTCCTCCCTGCACCGCCTCCCTTCCCATCCCAATACGCCCAGCCCCGCTCTCCCAGCTTCCCAGCTTCACCTTCCCCTGCTCTCTGCCTTCTCTCTGCCTTCATCTTTTTTCTCCGTCTCCCCGTTCTTTGTCTGGGCTGCCTCCCCCCTTTCCCCCCGGCCTGTCCCTCCCATGCAGCATATTAAGCACATTTCTCTCTCTGCCTCTCGTATTCGCTGGCTCTGCTCTGCGATGGAGGAGGCAGAGCTATTGTGCTCCCTGCTCTCTC